TTTTGTGCATCAAAGGACACCATCAAGAAAGGGAGATGGCAACCTACAGAATGGGGGAAACACCTGCAAATCGCGGATTTGGTGTCTAGAATACAAAAGAGCTCTTTCGACTCGGTGACAAGGACAGACCGAAGTGACATTTCTCCAAAAAAGACAGAGGAACAGCGACCAGGACAGCAAAGAACGCTCAGCACCGCTGGGGCGGGCTCAGCCGTGCCGCTCCAAGCAGTGCGGGTCGCGCTTGAGCTCTTCTGTGTTAAAGGCACTCGAGACACGGCAGGTGCAGGAAGGGCGGTCTCATGGCCATTGTCTTTCTGGAAGCAGAGGTGAGAGCCCGTGTGGAGGACACCAGAGAGGGGTGACTGGGCGAGGACTCAGCAAGCAGATGTGCATAGACACGTTGAAACCCCCCGCCACGGATCCTTCCACTTCCTTCCCCAAATCGCCACTCTTCTGTTCCATCTACTTAGTAACACCTAGTCCTCAGCACCTCTCAGGGCACTGTTCTGTGAGGACCCCCACACCCATGTAGAATTTTGTTATTAATAAATAAAACGTGCCTGCTTTTCTCCTGTAGACGTGTCCTACATCCATGCGGCTGAAGGATGAGTAGATAAAGAAGCCTGACCTCCAGTTGCCAGGAACAGAATCCAAAGCCAGAAAAAGACAAAATCATCCAAAAACAAAGTAACAAGTGTCAGTGAAGGTGTGGACAAGCCGGAGCCCGCCCACTTTGCAAGCGGGAAAGACACAGGGCCGCTGCTATGGAAACCAGGCTGGTGGCTGCTCAGCAAGTGACACCGGACCCAGCAATCGCTCCCAGGGGAACCCCAAAGAGCTGCGCAGAGAACCCGACTCAATGTGGTCCCGCCCACTGTGCCATCAGAGGTGAGTCCTGGAGGGTGGCGGGGGCCGGGCCTCGGAGCTACCAGACCGCCCAGTCCTCTCGGAAAGATAGGTCCTGGTGCGCAGCTGGAGGGACCAGAGTCAGCGGGTCAGGCTGTTGCTGCCGAGACCGTCCACAGCCATACCTCATCAGTTCTGGAGAATGAACGGAAGCCATGAGCCCACAGACTCTGTGCCCATGACAGAGACCCCTGATGGGGGGGGGGTGAGGCCTCAAGCCGCGGGCCCACCATGCTCCGTCACCATGCAGACACCTGGCCAGGCTGCAGCTCCCCTGGGCTCCAAGCTCCTTCCGTCCCAGGCCTGGAGGCTGCGCTGAGTGGACAGCCCAGCAGCTCCCCCAACCCTCAACCCCCATCCTCCGTCTTGGGACTGCCTTGGGCCCCGCCCCTGGGGGCACTGAGAGCGGGCTGTCCGAGCCGCGGCGCCCCCGTGTTCTGTCCCCACTAACCCAGAGCAGCCGGTGCCCCGACCCATCTTCAGCCTGGCGTCGCTGCGCCACACCCCCCCCCCACATTTGCTCCCTGGAGGTCTGCGTTAGCCTGGCACCTGCTGCCACAGCGTCGAGGTCCAAACCCAAGTTCTGCCACCAACTGGATGGGATGCCTCTGCCAGAAAGGGTCTCTGTTGGAATCCCTGGGTGCGGCCCCCCTCTGCTGGCTTCCCTCCCATCAGAGTGGCCCCAGCACTGGCTGTGAGCCTGGGGGATCTGCAGTTCAGACCCATCTGGACCCGGCTGGCTGGAGGGTGAGGACACGTGTGGGCTGGAGCAGCCCGCAATCCTGACGCCACCATCACGGGACATTGCCTTCTAACACAACTATTTATTCAGAACTCATGGTGAAGGTCAGGCCAGCTCCGCCCCCGCTTCCAGGCCTCCTTCCTGGGGTTGGGGGCAGCGCACGGATGACCGGCCTTCGTACTGTGACCCTGTCCTGGGGCACAGGCTTCCAGGAAGCTCCAGACTGTGAGGAAGAAGGCCTCCAGCTCCTGCCGCCCCAGGTGCTCAGCGTGTTCCTGGAACGCCTCCACCTCCTCCTCCAGGTGGGAGGACCCGTCCCTGAGCAGCCTCAGCCCAGCCAACGAGTCCTCTGTGCTGGGGCCTGAGGCCTGGGGGCCTGGGGCGCCGTGGGACAAGGCCACGGCGGGGGGCCTGCTTAGCATCAGCTACTCCACTTGACGGCTCTTCCAGCTTCTCCTGCTCGAAGGCAGGGCATCCCTCTCGCCCTCTAGGGAGGACTCTCCAGGAGATCAAGACACCCCAGCTGACACAGCACCAGAAGAGCCAGCTAAACCTGGGCCCAGGCCAGAGGTCTCCAGGCCCGCGGCCCATCAGCACCTCAGCACTGAGACCCACCAGGGGAACCACACCCTGCACGGTTCCAAGCGCAGGCCACGAGGCGCTGGTGTTTCCAAGCCTGTCTCCCAGCGACAGAGCCACCACCAGCGCCTGCACAGACAGCCACCTACCCGGCCTCGGTGGTGGAAGGCCGAGGCCCGCCTGGGCCAGTGGTCTCGGGGTGCTCCCGCCTGGGTGAGGATGCCTTGCTTCTTTGGATCCAGGTGGCTCTTCCCTCCCCATTTCCCGTCTCCCGCCGGCCTCGCCAAGTGATTGAACTGCATAACGGGCTGCCGGAGCCGGCCCTTCCCTTTCTGGGGGTTGGGGTGTCCCCGGGGCGACAGGGAGCTGGTGGGGGCCAAGGTTGCCTGGCGGCTTCAGGAGGATTCCGAGGCCTCTCTTCTCACACTCTGCAGGCTCTGGGCGCTGCTTCTGGGAGGAGCGCTCAGAGGTGGGGCGCACAATGACAGGGATGAGGTATTTCTCTTCCACCAGGTAGCAGTCCCTTCCAGCCAGCTCCATTGGGACCAACAGAGGCGCCGAGGGCCACAGGCAGACCAGGACTCGAGGGACATGAAGGGGAAGCTCCGGGCTGGGTTTCCGGCGTGCACGTGGGTGGCGTCCTGAATGAGGGGGCTTGGGGCTGGCCACTGCCCTTGAGGGGGTGAAGGGTCAGTGCTGGAAGTCCTGGAGGGAGGGTCTGCAGGGCTGAGGAGATGCAGGCGGGCCTCTTTGCGGGCGGGAGGTTTCCCCTGGCTGAGTGGGGAGCCCATCTTGGGAACAAAGGGGCTGGAGAATGCAGGTGGGCGAGCACACGTGGCATTCTGAGGGCAGGCCAGGGGCAGTCCCCCACCAAAGGCACAGTCAGGTGCAGAGAGGTTGGAAGGAGGCCGTGCAGGCAGATAGTGTTTTGGGGGGCTCTTACTGTGAGGGGACTGTTGCTCTCTGCTGACCAGGGAGTGCTCAGCGCAGACCCCAGCTTCATGGTCCACGAGAAGATGAGGGTCTATGTGCTTCTGTCTGCTCCTCCTGGATGGCCCTTGGCTGAGAGGGGCCTCAACTGCAGGCAGCTTGGTGGGTGGTGGGCAGGGGTCTGCAGGGACACTCTCAGCTGGATATGAAGGTGGCCCCTTGTCCTGGGGGGAGACTAGGCCAGAGACCTTGGGACTTTGGTTCCCCAAGTTGCCAGGCACCCAAGAGCCTCTTGGTGCTGGTGAGTGGCAGTCTCCTACTCAGCGGGGCATCCAAGGTGAGGACCCTGGATGGAGAACATGCAACTGCCCAGATGTTGCGGAATGGCTGTCCGTGGGATGAGGCTTGTCCAGCCAAGGGAGGACACTCAGGCGCAGTAAGATGAGGTGTAGGGCCCCCAGGCTCAGCGGGGGCCAGGGGAATCCCAGTGTGCATTAGTGAATGACCTTTGCCTGGCTTGAGTCCAAGGGGACCTTGGTTTTAAGGTTCCTGGGTGGGTCACGACACAAGAGCCTGTGACCGCTGGTCTGTGGCTGCCCCTCTGCTCTGCAAGGAGCCCACTGAGAGGTTTGCTGGCCATGGGCAGGAGTCCTGGGAACTCTCCCTATGAGTCAGCGGCTGTCCTTGGTGGAGCAGGAAGTCCCAGATGGAGACCCTGTGAAGGAGGAAACATAACAGGCTCTATCTTGAAAGCAGGACCCCATGTTGGGCCGGACTGTGGACTTTGAGCCATATGCCCAGTATCTATGGAAATGGCATACCAATGGAAAACCAGATCCCCCCTGGATGAAGGAGCCTCCTGACTTGTACCTAGACTCTCCTCGCCTAAAAGAATATGCTAATTATCTCTAACAGAACAAAGTTGTAAATCCCATTATGCTTATCAGGGTATGACCACAGGCCTATTGATAAATGTCCACTGTTTATCTAGGCTTATGACATATGAATCATGGGTTAACCTCGATGGTATCTCTATTTACCTTTTCCAGACTAGTTTTAAGGAATTTGGGGAGGTGGCTTTGCGCACGGACACTTAGTGTATCTACAGTTTTCACAAAAACTGGTTGGGGTCTTTGGCTAAGAGGAGACTCTGCCTTGGGCCTGCCGGTGTAATAAACTGCACTCCACCACTGGTTTTCCGGAACGCGTGGCTACAACACCTGAACCTGTTGTACAGCGCTGCTCCAAGGTCGAGGAGCCTCAGAGTTGGGGTTGGAGGCTGCCCTCTGCTCAGCGCGGAGCTGGAGGCCAGGCGCGTTTCGGGTCGCTCCGCTGGCGTGTGCGGAGCCGGCGTGCGACCCCGGAGGTCTGGGGGTCCCCTGTGCTCCAGTTCTCGGCGCCCGATCTCCCGCTGCGGGAGGGGAACACCAAGGAGAGGAGTCGGGCCAGCTCTGTCGGCGGGAGCGGGTGTGCCAGCCGCCGCGAGCGGGTGCGCGGACTCGCAAGCCCGCAGAGAGGAGCGAAAGCTGCCGCGAGCATGAACGTGGAGTGCATGGTATGGGCCAGGAAGAATGGACACTGGTCGCCAGAAGGGCGGCCGAAGAGGTGGCGAGGAGGAGAAGCAGCAGCAGCCGCTGCAGCAAAACCGCCATCTCGGCTCTCCTCTCTCCTGGAGACTGGGCGGTGCCCCGCATTTATACCCGCCTGTGCGTCACCCCGCCTCTCTGTGACGTCACGCGCCCCGCCGGCCAATCGCCAGGCGGATTCCGCCGCTGCACGCCGCGGGCCAATTGTGGGGCGGTTCTCGCCTTCTCCCTCCAGATCCGGCCCCGCCCCGCTCCCCGCGAGTTCCCTGGGGCCCTGGGGGGCGGGGCGGTGCACCTGAGAGCCGGGCGGTGGAGAGCGCTCCAGGGGTGCCATGGTGACACTGAACCTGCCTGGATCCTGACTCTCCAACGGCTCCCTTTGGTGTCTCAGCTTCTGACAGCGTCTGATAGCGGATGGAGGAGAGGTGGTCAGCGAAAGAGAGGTGGTGTGCAGGGGGATGGGCTGCAGGAGGTGTGGAGAAGGATAGAGGAGGTAAGATGCTGGGAAGAGGGGCGGGGGCTCACACCAGAGAGTCCAGGGCAGCAGAGGAAACAAATGGGTGGCCCATCTGGTCAGGCCCGGTGTGTGCTCCCTAGACGGATCCCAGCACTCCTGTGCAGGTGAGTCTGTGTGCCCCTGACACAGAGAGGCCAAACGGTACCCAATCCTCGGAATCTGGAGCAGATAAAGGTTTATTGCTGCACGATGCGAGGAGACGCGTGGCTCCCACCTTAAAAACCCCAAACTTCCCAAAGGTTTCAGCAAAGCCCTTTCCTGGGAAAAGTGAGAGAAGGCATGGTAAGTCATTGCAAACTTCCTGGTGTCAGATCCTTTGTTCTTGAGGTCAGGTCATGGTCAGATAACAGTGTTCCTGTAAATCTCTACCAAATGAATGCCATCCTCTGTTCTGACAAGAAAAGACAAGGTCTCAAGGCTCAACTTTCGCCCTCCAAGGTCCAGGTCCTGGCTAAGAGGAGGTGGTCCCTGCTAGGGCTGGTCACCCTGCCCAGGAGTCTTCATCGAGCACCCAGTCTGGGTCCTCCCACTAGTGCCCAGGCTGGGCTGAGGAGGCAGATCTCAGCTGGTGCTGCCCTTGGAGCCAGGTCCCCAGACCCTGTCCAGCTGTCATCTCTGAGGGAGCCAGGCACCCAGGACCCAGCTGGTCCTCAGGCCCTCCAAACAGCAGGGGGTCAGGTCCCTCACAGGCCCACCAGGCAAACTGCTGCTGCCCTTCGGTCCCAGTGTGGGGACTGGGGAGCGCTTCACTGCGGCCTCTCCGCCTGGGCCCGGCCAGCAGGCAGCATTGGCGAGGGCTCTGGAGCCCAGCAGGACAGAGCCCCTAGCCTGTCCCCCACCCCCATCCACTGGCCTGAGGCCGGCTGAGCAGGAGGGCTCTGGGGTGAAGGCTGGGATCTGCCTTTTACCTCCCTCGCTGCCTGAAGACCACCACCCCCCTGACCATTGGCCTAGCAGGCCTTTAATTACCACCCTGGCTGTTTCTTAGCAGTGGCTGCCTGGTGACTGCTGTCTGGTAACAGTAGATGTCCTGGCACTGCACCCACGCCTGTCCCCACCACACACTTGCCCTTTCGCTGTCACGCACTCATCCTTGGAGACGTCAGCCCCGCTTGCTGGCACCGCGACCCTCCTGTCAGTATTTTCCACCGTACAGTCTGTTTTCTACTTCGGCTTCTGGTGCTTGAACTTCTTGCCTCCCATTGCAAACACTGCTGCTCTTTCCCCCAGCAGCTATTTCTTCTATGCCTAATGCAATAAATACTAATACATAAAATGTCAACTGTCCTGGTCTCCTGATGAAATGGGCTCACAGAAAGTAGGCCCATCCCCAGGGGATGAATCTTGACTGGAGGAAAGCAGGCATGGCCCTCTCCTTCCTCTGCTGGAATTGGTGGGGGTGGGGAGAACACGTGACCTAGTTCTGCCCAATAGAGCTGAGAGGAGGCCTGTTTAGGAGGCAGGTGGTGTTTGGGAAAGTTTCATCTCTTTAAAGGAAGGCGGGTGGTGGAAATCAATCATCACCATTTTCCTTCGACCTGGTAGGGAGAATGTGATGGGAGGAGATGTAGCAGCCAAAGTGAGACCGTGAGGAAAGAGCTAAGGAGAATCCCAGAGGAGCTGGTGCAAAGATCCGCCCTTGCTGACCAAATAAACTAATCAACCCCAGAGCCTCCAGACTCTTGTTGGCAAGATCATCACTGCCTGCACTGAAGCCATGTTGGGATCCATTTCGTTCATTAATTCAGAATAATCTAAGTGTCTTATTAAATATTTCTTGTGCTGATTCCACTTTCTAGCCAGCAAAATCTGACGTGCACAGAGATGATGAGGGCCAGTGCATAGGATGAAGGTGCAAGAAAGAGGTCCCGGAGTAGACAGACTGCAGACACAGCCTGAGGACATGCAGACCCAGGGTGCCACAGGGCCCTGTGGTTCTCTCCAGTGAGCTCGTCCACAGCTCGCTGGCGGGTGGGAGAGACACTGGGGAGGGTCACCGGGTGGCCCTGGAGACCAGGCCAAAGGCAGAAGATGGGCAGCCTCAGGGCCGACCCTTCAGGGCGCAGGTGAGGTTCTGCTTGGTAATAAGCCCTTTCCAAGTCCACCCTATGAACACTCCTGCTGGTATTTCAACCCAATGCAGGCAGCACTCCTCCCTGCCCTCCCTGCACTGTGCCCCCCAAGCATGTCAGCCTGGTCCTCTGTAGGCCCCACGTAGGGCCTAGTAGGGGTCAAATGACCACATCCTGCCCACCACTGCCAATCCCTGGCTAGGAAGAGGCAAGAGGTCATAGCCTCCATTTTCCATCGCCATTTCACCCCCTCCCGTCTCCTTCCCCCTGGCTCCATTCAAAAAACTAAGATCATGGCATCCAGTCCCATCACTTCATGGCAAATAGATAGGAAAAAATGGAAACAGTGGTGGATTTTATTTTCTTGGGCTCCAAAATCACTATGGACAGTGACTGCAGCCATGATATTAAAACATGCTCATTCCTTGGAAGAAAAGCTATGACAAACCTAGACAGTGTATTAAAAAGCAGAGACATCACTTTGCCGACAAAAGTCCATATAGTCAGAACTATGGCTTTTCCAGTAGTCATGTACGGATGTGACAGTCGGACCATAAAGAAGGTCGAGAGCCAAAGAACTGATGCTTCTGAACTGTGGTGCTGCAGAAGACTGTAGGAGTCCCTTGGACTGCAGGGAGATCAAGCCAGTCCACCCTAAAGGAGACCAGTCCTGAATATTCATTGGAAGGACTGATGCTAAAGCTCCAGTGCTTTGGCCAGAAGAGCCAGCTCACTGGAAAAGACCCTGACGCTGGGAAAGATTGAAGGCAGGAGGAGAAGGGGACGACAGAGGGTGGTTGGATGGCATCACTGACTTGATGGACATGAGTTTGAACAAGCTCCAGGAGCTGGTGATGGACAGGGAAGCCTGGCATGCTGCAGTCCATGGGGTCGCAGAGTCCAACATGACTGAACAACAGCAATGCCCCACCTGTGGGGACGAATTTGTGGGGATGAATTTCGCACCAACCTACTTTAACCTTCCAGCTGCCTGAAAGAAAATCTTGTCAAACACCCATCTTCTCTCAGCCCTCTTTATCCTCCCAACAGCCCTCAAAGAGGGGATGTCCCGGGCAGTCCAGTCCTCCGCACTCCCACTGCAGGGGGCACAGGTTTGATCTCCGGTCAGGAAATTAAGATCCCTGAACCCCCAGCTACCCACAAGGAAGGTGCTACTGTGGCCTCCACTACCACGAGCGGAGAAGCGGGCTCAGAAACCATGAGCCCCTGGCCACACCTGCTGCCGAGCGGAGGCCCCAGAACCAAATGGGCACGGAGCCCTGGGGCCCATGTTCCATTCCTGACAACAGCAGCTTTCCACAGGACTCAGGAAAGTGGACATGGACGTGTCAGAAATGCTGGATAACCATCTGGAAAGGAAACCGAAAGTTTATCTGAGCAGAACCTAGGAGCTGAGAACGGGAGCAGAGATTGGAGGTGACGGCATGAAAGGCCTGCACTTTCCAGGGATTTCATCTGGATGTGGGCTTTGCTGGGAGCAGCCGGCGGACCCTGGCTCATCTGTGCTCCGTCCCCGTCCGCCCACCCGAGGAAGAGGCCCTCTCCCAAGCCCCGATGCCCATTGGTGTCACCCCCAGGGCGGGGAAGACAGCGGCATCCCCGGCTCCCGTGTGGTCAGCGTGTCTGGTGGCCTTGGTTCCTCGGGTGCTCAGCGCCGCGCAGAAGGCTCAGATCTCATCTCACTGAACAATCTAAGCTTGAAATGGGGAAGTGAGGGTCTAAGGAGCCGGGGAAGCTTTGTCGACCCTCCAAGCAAGGGTTTCCGGAGGGAGACAGCAGCTGCCCTGAGCTGTGGAGTCGCTCCTGCGCCTGACGGGGTGGGGGCGGGGGAACCCAGGGTCTCCCCCTGTTCATTCCCGAGTCATGGCCACAGCCATCCCCAGGGACCACCACCCCAAGCTTCCTGTTGGAGGAGGAGAAGCAATTTCTGCTCGGTGAGAAAGCTTCCGCGCCCCTCACCCTCCCAGCAGACCAACCACATGGTGCCCAGCGGCGCTGGAGGCCTCTTCCAGCCTCCTCCCTTCTGGCCAAAACCTGCCCTGCCGTCCACCAGCTCCAGAAGCTGGCCCCCTGGTCAGAGGCCCTGTGTCCTCAGCCTGCCTGGGCCCCTCGGAATGGACTGTAGTGGAAACAGGAGGCCACTTTCTGGGAAGGGCCAACTCCGAGGAAGGCTGGGAAGGCAACAGGAGCTGCACAGAGGGCTCCGCAGGCAGGCGGATCCCTGGGTGGGCGAGTAAGTTGACCAAGACAGACTGCGGGGTGGCTCAGAGGGTGTCTGTGCTGGGGGTGGGGGGCGAGGGAACGTGGAGCCTGGAGCAGGAAGGGCCCGAGGAGTGCCAGGTCAGCGGTCTCTGTGCGCCTTCCCCCAGCTTGAGGGGTCTTCCTTCAGGTGGGCCAGGGGGAGCAGCTTTGGAGAGACGGTCAGAACCCAGCAGCTGGGGACCCTTGGTGTTGCGGGCATGCCCACGCCGCAAGGGCTGGCATTCTGGCTGCTACTCTGCACCCAACTCCACCCCCACGCCCTAAACACTGTGTCAGCAGGAGGAGTTCTGTCTGCAAAACAAGAGCAGCTTGGCATGGGGAAGAATCCATTACCGCGGAGATTACTCTCTTTTAGGCTAAGCTGGGTTGATGGGAAAGTGTTGCTGAGCGGCCAAGGAGCTAGTGGCACAAGCACACAGAGGAGCTTTTTTGGAATCCAGTACTTGGGGATAAAGAGGTAAGAAAGCAAGAAGGGCAAATCAAAGAGTGGCAGCATCCACGCTCCAGCAGCGCTGCAGGGGCTGGGCGGCGCAAGCAGCCGGACCCAAAGGGGCTGGATCCTCGGAAAGCCTAAGCCCTGACCAGCAGGCTGCAGGGGCCGCTGGCTGAGCAGGGGGCGAACTGCAATAGAGCAGAGGGCGGGGGCAGCCCTCGCCCTCCCCTGCTGCAGGCTCTGCCGCCCGCACCATCGAGGGCTCTCCGCAGAGCGACACCCCGCACGCCCCATCTCCTCCTGGAACTGCTCTTTCCTGGCCTTTCTTGGCCCCTGTCAGCGCCTGGCGTTATGGGATCTGTGGTCTGTGCCCTGTGGCCTCGCAGTTCCACGAGTCCGGCTTTGTCTTTCTTGTTGCTGGCCACGTGCCCAGCCCCTGGAGCGGCCCCAGCATAGAGGAAGTGCTTGATTAATATTTTTGAATGGGTGAGTTGCGGTAGCATGTCCCGTCAAAAAAGCCACTAGACATCAAAGCCCAGATGAACAGTGATCTCATTGGCAGCAGACTTCTCCTCAGCACCACTGAGCGGCATCTCCAGATGCTGAGGGGAAAGAACACTGGAACAGCTGGAATTCTATGCCCAGCCAAGGGATCATGCAGGACCGGCCAGGAGACGCCATGTTTCCTGGCATACAAGGATTCCACTTAACGCTCAAGCTCTCTGAAAGAAATCATTAAAGCGAAAAGAAAAGCAAATCTTGCATACAAGGAGCAACGATGAGCAAAAAATTGCTGTTTTTTACAGTTGAGTTTAAGGGTATGTTAGTGAGCTGGAGGGTTTTAAAAATAAAGTTTTAAACAATTATCTGTGCCTTTAAAAATAATGACTTTGATTTTAATAATGATAATGATTATAGATGATATCAACACAGAAGGGGCACGTGAGCAAAAGTCACGGGGGCAACCCTACATGCATAGAAAGCGTGTACGAACAGTGGACCCCCAGATCGTCTTGCAGTGCTGAGTCGCTGGCCAGTGCCCACCCTTGGACTTCTCCACACCTGATATCTTCGGCTGGGGCCGGGGGCATCTCCACCAGCTCTGATGGACAGCTCTGGAGGAAGATGGATCTGCTGATGAAGTGAGAGGCCCTCCGGCAGTACCCCAACCAGGTACTGGGGGTTGAATTGCACCCAGCAGTGAGATATGCTGACGTTTTAACCTCCAGGAACTCGGGAAGTGACCTGAATTTGAGACAGGGTCATTGAAGATACAGTTAAGATGAAGTCATACCAGAATAGTATGTTGGCCCTTGGTCCAACATGACCAGTGTTCTTATAGGAAGGCAAGAAAGATGAGAGCATGTGTGGCAATGGAGGCAGAGACTGGAGTCTGCAGTGTTTATCCAGGGAACTGGGACTCTCAGAAGCTGGAGGAGGCAAGAAGGACCCTACCTGGGAGAATGCAGAAGGAGTGCGGCCCTGAAGCCACCTTGATCTCAGGCCTCTGCCCTCCTTGACTGCAGGACAATAAACCTGTGCTGTCAGAAGCCACCTGGCTTGTGGGTTCACTGTTATGCTACCCACATACGGTACCCTGGACTTCCGGAAGCAAATCTCCAGCCCGCGTCCGGTGAGCCCATCCACGGCCCCAGCGCAGCTTACTGTCGGGCGCCCAGCACGGAGCCCGCCAAGAAGAGTGGGCAGCTCGGGCGGGGGCTGCAGGCCGCCTGCTGAGCCGCTGCACGCTCCCTGATTGGGAGGGGTGAGGCAGCTGGGGGACGTTTCCAGGATCTCAGCAATCAGTTTTCTGGTTCCAAGCGGCCTGGGGTCTGCAGTGCATTTCCTGGTAGGCAGGATGTATAACCTCTCCCACCTGGTGGGGCGTTCAGTGTGGGCATGACCGCTCAGAGATAGGGCTCGGTGTCACCTGCAGCCTTGGAGGAAGAACTCAAGGTCCTCGACTTCACATCTAAGCTACTCTTATTTTGTCTTGTTGACTG